ATTGCTAATGTAATCCTAGGACAGCAGAGGTTAAGGAAGAAATGTATACTGAATTTAATTGTTTTGAAAATTTGTGAAGATTTTGCTGTTTACTTAGCGTAAGTGTTATCAAGAAAATTCCTCTTTAATTTTTTTTGTTTCACGATTTTTTTTATTTTACTACATAGTGATTAAAAATTTAATTTACTTTTTTATTATGTGTGTTTTTCAACTTTTTAGTGACATCAAGAAAGCTAGGCTTCTGCTGAATTCTGTGAGAGAGACCAATCCTAACCACCCTCCTGGTGAGTTATTAATAAATAGTAAAAGTAAAGAAGTGTGTATAATAATATGTTAACAATGCTGTATCCAGTGCCAATGAGGCCTTTCGACCAATACCAAGGCTCTTCAAAGTAGCTGCGACAGAATGGATATAGTAATGGCTGAGATGTTATTTACATTAGGATGTTGCTTGATAACAACTGTTACATAGCTGCGACAGAATGGATATAGTAATGGTTGAGATGTTATTTACATTAGGATGTTGCTTGAGAACAACCGTTACATAGCTGCGACAGAATGGATATAGTAATGGTTGTGATGTTATTTACATAAGGATGTTGCTTGACAACAACCGTTACATAGCTGCGACAGAATGGATGTAGTAATGGTTGAGATGTTATTTACATTAGGATGTCGCTTGACAACAACCGTTACAGTGGGAACTTGATTAAGTTGGTTAAGTGTAATTTTTGATCAATTTTTAGTTATGTCACAACATGTCAGAATTAGGGTAAGGATTATTTTACACCATATTATTTATTTATTTTATCACTATATATGTATATCACTAATTATTATTTCCTTCAATAAAATTGTTCATTTCTCTGATCTTCTTGTTAATGTATTTTGTGGATGGAAAAACAGTGTTTAAGTGTATAGGATTTTATTTAGCTCAAACAATAATTATAATTAGGAAAAGAAGAAGAAAATAATTTCTCAACACTAGTTGAAGAAGAAAGGGTGGAGGAAACATTGTAATTACAGGTTACAAAACAACCTGCATGAACCTTAGAATTATATAATTTATTTTACTTGGCCTTAGCTGAGTGGCTTGGATTTTGGAAGTAACTTGCAAATTTTTGTCATTAAACAAAACCAATACTTTAAGCCTAGCAACATCACACCAATACTTTAAGCCTAGCAACATTACACCAATACTTTAAGCATAACAACATTACATCAATACTTTAAGCATAGCAACATTACACCAATACTTTAAGCCTAGCGACATTACACCTAAACTTTAAGACTAGCAACATTACACCAATATTTTAAGCATAGCAACATTACACCAATACTTTAAGCCTAGCAACATCACACCAATACTTTAAGCCTAGCAACATCACACCAATACTTTAAGCCTAGCGACATTACACCTAACTTTAAGCCTAGCTACATTACACCTAAACTTTAAGCCTAGCGACATTACACCAATACTTTAAGCCTAGCGACATTACACCAATACTTTAAGCCTGGCGACATTACACCAATACTTTAAGCCTAGCGACATTACACCAATACTTTAAGCCTAGCGACATTACTGATCCAAGATTTGATATAATGTGATTCAGTGTGAAATAGACATTACACAAATACTTTAAGCCTAGTGACATTACTGATCCAAGATTTGATATAATGTGATTCAGTGTAAAAGTCTTTATGAGACATTCATCTTAGATTGAATATTTGTTCTTTTGAGTTGTAAATTATTCCATCGAATGGTTTCGAATCCCAAGCTTCTAGTGTTTGTTTTCATGCTGACAATCACTGGTCTCGTTTTGGAAGTGAAAATTCTGCTTTTTTTTTTTAAAATCTATTTCTGCATTCTCCTATATTTATACTTTATGTTCGACAATATTACAGTTCCATCTGGTAGATTTTTGATTGCCACGAAACTTTAATAAAAACTTTGGAGTTTTTACTGTATATCCTTGTTCATGATTTATTATATGCCTTGCATTTTTAAAACTGTTCTTACTCTATCCATTTCTCTGCCATTCACTGATGTTCTAATTCATCTCTTAAGCTTGGATAGCCTCAGCTCGATTGGAGGAAGTGACAGGAAAGATACAGGCTGCAAGAAACCTCATCACTAAGGGCTGCGAGATGTGTCCCAACTCGGAAGACGTTTGGCTTGAAGCAGCACGTCTTCAGGTATTGTAAATGTGTTAACCTTGCTTGAAAACTTTGTTTCTTCATAATACACAAACACACGTATGTTATGTAAGTATAGACATGACCGAGTTTAGATGTGTTATTTTAGAAAATTAACTATGTGTTATGTAAATATAAACTTGACAGAGTTTAGATGTGTTGTCCTGTGATTATCTACCAGAGAAGGCTTTGTAATGTTAACTCCAGACTAGTTTTTCTTATGCAGTAATTACTATATTTTATTATGTAATGTTAACTCCAGGCTAATTTTCCTTATACAGTAATTACTATATTTTATTTTGTAATGTTAACTACAGGCTAGTTTTCTTTGTGCAGCAATTGCTATATTTTATTTTTTAATGTTAACCCCAGGCTAGTTTTCTTTGTGCAGCAATTGCTGTATTTTATTATGTAATGTTAACTTCAGGCTAATTTTCATTATGGAGTAATTACCATATTTTATTTCTGATATTTTTTAATGAAAGAAATGAATTAGTTTAACCTTTACACAGTTTATTAAGTTATAACTTATGTTTTAAAGAGTAACTTTCACACAGTTTATTAAGTTATAACTTATGTTTTAGAGAGTAACTTCCACACAGTTTATTAAGTTATAACTTATGTTTTAGAGAGTAACCTTTACACAGTTTATTAAGTTATAACTTATGTTTTAAAGAGTAACTTTCACACAGTTTATTAAGTTATAACTTATGTTTTAGAGAGCATGAACTTGATTTTTCCAGTTTGGGTTTTCTAACTGTTAACTTTTTTAAAGAATCCTAGTGATGTGTGTACACATTTGAAGATTTAACTCCACCTTAGTTTTCGTATTGTTTTCAGAAGTTTCTCATCGTCATACGAATTACGTTTATTAATTATTATTTTTTATTATTATTATAGCCTAACGATTTGTCTAAAGCTGTTATAGCCCAAGCTGTACGCCACATGCCATCATCTGTAAGAATATGGATCAAAGCAGCAGACTTAGAAACAGAAATTAAAGGAAAACGACGGGTTTATAGAAAAGTGAGTGTGATTTAGTTTTTGACCCATTTATTTATTTATTTAAAAACCGTATCACCCAAGTTTTTTTATGTAACTTTTTGATTGCTTTGTTGGATGCTAGATCATGTTTATGTTCTATAATGTTACTAATAAGACCTTCTGAGAAGATTGTATAATCATATATAAACCACACGATATTTGCTATATCCATTGCTGAATACCAGGGCTTATCAGGCCATCTGGGATATGACAAACGTAGTAGTGGTTCGAGCACTGTTTATCTTAGCAAATTGCTTGACGAGAACTATCATGGTTTAAACAAGATAAGTTGGTGTAATGTAATTTTACTTATGTCGCAACACACATCAGAATTAGGGTAAAGATTTTTTTGACAGTGTATTAATTATTTATTTTAAAACCCTATATTTCATTCAGTTCACTAGATAAAGATTCCAGGGCACTATGTATAGAATATGGTTATTTTGTTTCTCACCCGTGGTTGCGTTGATAATGTTGTTAAGACTGAAGATAGCTTAAAGATACAAAACAAATAACTGTGCTTGAAAGTACAAAGGAACTGACTGTTCCATACCTCAGGTGGAAATTCTGTTATTGTATTGTATAGAAATACGAAATGTTAGTTTTCAAAAATATCTCAGCTTATGTTTTCTGATGATTTTGTATTAAGAGATCCAGGTATTAATTGTAACTAAAGTGTTTTTGTGTAATGAAGCAAAACGTCTTTAAATTTTATTTTATGGTACTTGAAAAAAGAATTCCAGCATCTTAAAAATATTTCTTACTATATTGTGTAAACTAATGCCACTAGGTTTACTTAGATCTTGGTAAAAATTTACTTAGGTAATAATTTCAAGGCCTGGTGGTTAGGGTGCTTAACTCACAATCTGTGGGTCGCAGGTTTGAATTCAAGGCCTGGTGGTTAGGGTGCTTGATTCACAATCTGTGGGTCGCAGGTTTGAATTCCTTCACTGAACGTGTTCACCCTTTCAGCCATAGGTGTGTTATGTGATGGTCAATCCCACTTTTCAATCAGAGTAGACTAAAAGTTGGTGGACTAGCCACCTTTCCTTTATTCTGCCACTTCTAAATTAGGGATGACTAGTGCAGATAGCTTTTGAGTAGCTTTGTATGAAGTTCATCAAAGGAAAAATGCATAGATTAATGTTACTAGCTGTACTTTCATACCTAATGTTAATTTCTGTTCCTTAAAACCTAGGCATTGGAACATATTCCAAACTCTGTGAGGTTATGGAAGGCAGCAGTTGAATTGGAAGAACCTGAAGATGCTCGGATCCTCCTAAGCAGAGCAGTGGAATGCTGTTCAACTAGTGTTGAGCTATGGTTAGCTTTGTCTCGACTTGAAACATATGACAATGCAAGAAAGGCAAGTAAACATTTAATACCTGCTATAGCTATAATATTTTCTCATGTGAACTTTAACTAAGTTTTATATTATATCTTGTATCATCAAATAGAATTATTCTAATGTGATCAAGAGTGAATTACTAGGTTTATGTTACAGATGGCAATAATGTTGTACCTAGGTTATTATATATATGTAATGAAATAAATAGCTTCAATACTAAAGTGTTTTTTAAACATGTTTGTTTTTTTAATGATTTCTACACCAGATTTCTTGTGGGTCTCTTATAGTCACACGCAAATTTATATATATATATATATATATATAACACACTATATCTTAGAC